ACAAGAATGCACTACATAAGGGTCAGGCAGGAAAACACGAAAGCTGAGCAAGATAAGCAACGATAGTTACTAGAATCATGTGTGAAATGCTGGTCGATAAACGGCAAGCTGATGCAGTCCACCAACCATTGTTTTTTTGTTAGTTTTTTTTTGGGGTCCCACAACTCAGCTCATTGCTAGCGGGGTTGAAATGAATTGTATCAATCATCGTCAACTGACCGATCACGTTCATTCCATCCGTCCATATGAGCGCACGAGTTGCCTCTACCGTCTCGTTTGATTCTACTAATTTGAGGATAGTTTGCTGTTGTTGAAACATCGATCGAACGAGGTTTTCCGTGAACATGTTCCTGCAAAGTGAATCCTTTGTTTTCTGTGGAATTTCGAAGCTCCACTTAAATACTCACCTTAGAACGTCTCCTACCTTGTCGAAAATTCTTCCTTGTGACGTCTCCGTTCCTTTGGCCTTCAATCCTTCTTTAATTGTGGGATCACCAGGGTGAATCACTGTTGCAATGACAATTCCCAGCTAAAAGTGAAATAGATTGTTTCAAAAGGTTAGCGAGTTTGGTATCAGACTCCGGCCTCGGTGGGAACTCGAACTCGGCAGGAGCTAATGCTTTCAGGCCACCGAAAAAACAGCAATCAGCAAACCATCAACTCAAAATAAAATGAGTATTTCCTATCTTTATTTCCCCTTAAAACCTGCAAAAAACTCACGAGCACTGCATGAATTGTGGCCCCTCCATAGTAGAAGAATGATCTTGTGCTCAGTTTGCCGGCTGTACGGCTATCGAGCATTGACACTCCTGAATTAGTCGCAGATGTCGCAGAATTAGTCCTTTTCAATGATATCTCTTGAAGAACTCAGCAATCGTAACGTGAAACCGAAGTACGGAAACTTCTAAGGCTGCCGTATCATTCAAAGGCACAGTTCACGATAATTTTGGGGCATTTAGTTCTTGACGAATAATGGAAGTGATAATCGAGGAAAGAGCAAAAAAAGGCTGGTGTATTCGGAGAAATTCAATGCTTCAAAAAAAGAAGTTAAATTAGGGGATGGCCAAGAGTGTGACGACAGAAGCTGGTTACAATAGGCTACCTGCTTGGAAGGTGTGGGTCCCCGTGCAAATGGTGCAACCTCTACAGCTCTTACAACGCTTAAGAACTCGTCCGCCTTGGGTGTGCACCTCGGCTATGTCGTTCCTGGGGCCCTTACTACGCTGTATGTTGACCTTTTGTCGATCCGACAGCGTCCCTCAGGATATCATTGCATAAAAGGTTGCATTTTTATCGTGAACTGTACCTCTAGGCAGCAATCTTCCCTTGTCAACTACACAAAGAATATAAGCGAATTAGAGACAAGATCAACATGGTTGCAAACAAAACGTTTGCAGAGATAACAGTGCCATCATGTGGGGGACCAACAGACCGAATGAGATGGTTCATACATTGAATAGCGGCACTGTTTTTGCCTTTCTCTTCACTTCATAAGGACGGAACAGCTGTAGAACTGTTGGAGGCCATGCGAATCCACTAAAAAGCACTATCGCCGTTTTTCCATCTCAGTATCGACAGCCTTGAAGAGTCTCTACGGTGTGCAGTCATGATGAAAGCTGCTAGCTGGTTTGCACAGTGTCCATGGTTAGGTTCGAACAATTGGTCATTAGACCTTGCTCTTACGATCTTACGATGAATGTGGATAGTCGGTGAATGGATAGAAAGCGTTTGGCTTATGAACAAGGCTGTCAGCCGATTCAATGTCCGTCAGAACAATTAGCGAGGGTGGTTTTACATCATTATTAGCACGGAACGCCGCCCAGGCCACTCGAACGCAAACCTCTTGTTCAACCGGTCGGAGCTATCAATAAGTCGGTTTTACGCAGCATCGAAAGGCGGCATCCCATACACATCCTCACCCATGCTTGGTATTATTACTGGTATTCCTTTCACATAAATTTTATACCTTTCAACACATGCCCTCTTGATTGTGCTACTTGACATTAAACAACGTCTGTCGATTGCTGAATGGAGTCGTTTGAATTTTTTTCAGCAAAACGGATGAAGAAGCGGCGACATCGTGGACGGAGATTTCATCGATCACCGCAAAATTTGCACGCACGCCTTCTCAGTAGCCATTCATCATCATTTTATTCGCAATTGACATCTACCGGGCCTTAAAACGGTCACGGCTTACAGTTAGCCGAAAAGACTGGTAACCGCCTCGCTACTATTCCTTCCATCACCCTCATGTTCACATGAAAAAGGGTTGTTGGGAAAGCCATCATCGCCTGCATAATTTATTGGGTTTATCAGATGGATTGTATGCCCTGATCTCCTGAGTGAAATAAGGCCAAATAGACCACTTCACGGATGTGCACCGTTGACCGCAAACCGTTGATGTAAAGAGGACTTGAACAGTGAGTTACAATCTGGTTGATAGAACGAAGGAGGGAAAACGATGAGTGGTTCCTCGCAACTCTCTAGAAGGGCCTCAGGGACCCCCGGAGAAAAAGCATCACTTATTCTTGTGCATCCTTTGTATCAATAGTAGAGTCGTATTATTCAGGTTAGAGGCTCAATTTGCATTGACCTGACTTTTAGTTATTGGATT